TTTTCTGATGAAAAAGTATTATTTGCTGGAGAGGAAATTGCAGAATCGTACCCTGGATGGGGAATTTTTTCGATGGAGCAGCAAACTTCAAAGGAGTCAGAATTGGGGCAGTCCCGATTTCAGAGTCTGGGTAGCATTATCCAGCATCGGCAAAGATAAGATTCCATTGTACCAATAATATGGCCGAATACGAAGCGTGCATCCTTGGGATCAGAATGGCAGTCGACATGAACATCAAGGAACTTTTGGTCATAGGGGATTCCGATCTACTGATACATCAAGTCCAAGGGGAATGGTCCACCAAGAATGTCAAGATACTTCCATACCTGCACTGTGTGAAGGAGTTATGCAAGAAGTTTACGAAGATTGAGTTCAAGCACATCCCCAGGATTCAGAACGAGTTCGTCGATGCCTTTGTAACCCTATCATCTATGAACTAGCATCCAAACAAGAACTGCATCGACCCTATCGATGTAGAGATCAGGGATCAACTTGCCTATTGCTTCAATGTATACGAAGAACCAGATGGTAAACCATGTTATCACGACATCAAGAAATTCCTTGCAACTAGAGAGTACTCGGAGAATGCTACTAATGGTCAAAAGCGAGCCCTCAAGAGACTAAAAAACCACTTTTTCCTCAACGGGGAAGTCATGTATAGGAAGACCCTAGATTTAGGTTTGTTGAGATATGTAGGCGATGCCTAGGCAACTAGATTACTGGAAGAAATACATGCAGGGACGTGGAGACCCCTTATGAACGGGTTCACACTAGCCAAGAAGATCTTGACAGCTGGATACTTTTGGATGACTATGGAAAGCGATAGTATCTGTTACGTAGAGAAGTGTCACCAGTGCCAGATTCACGGGGATTTCATCTGGTTTCCGCCGAATGAGTTAAACGTAATGGGTTCACCCTAGTGATTCAACGCTTGAGGCATGGATGTGATTGGACCTATAGAGCCTGCCGCATCAAATGGACATCATTTCATCTTGGTAGCTATCGATTATTTCACCAAATGGGTCGAGGTATCTACTTACAAGGCCGTCACAAAGAAGGTAGTGGCATATTTTGTCCGAAACAACATCGCCTACAGATTTGGAATACCGGAGTCTATCATCACTTACAATGTCGCTAACCTCAACAACGACCTCATGAGAGAAATCTGCAAGAAGTTTAGAATCGTCCACCGCAATTCCACAGGCTACAAACCACAAATGAATGGGGTAGCCAAGGTAGCCAACAAGAATATCAAGAGAATTCTACGAAAGATAGTAGACAACCACATGCAATGGCACGAGAAACTATCTTACGCCTTATTGGGTTATCGGACCACCATGAGGACATCTACTAGGGAAATGACATACATGTTAGTATACGAAACTGAAGTTGTGATACCTGTAGAGTTTGAAATACCGTCTTTAAGGGTCATTCAAGAGGCAAATTTAGACGACACAGAATGGATACGATTCAGACAGGAGCAACTCATGCTTATCGATGAGAAAAGAATGGAAACAATATGCCACGGTCAGCTATACCAGAATAGAATGGCCAGTGCATTTAACAAGAACTTGAAGGTTCGCCAGTTCGCACCAGGGCAGTTGGTCTTGAAGAAAATCTTTCCCCACCAAGAGGAAGCCAAAGGAAAGTTCACACCAAACTGGCAAGGTCCTTACGTGGTTCACCGAACACTATTAGGTGGAGCTCTAATCTTAGAAGAAACGGTTGGAAGAATCAACATGAAGCCCATCAACTCGGACGCAATCAAGAGATACTATGTTTGAAGAATAAAATAGAGTTAGCTTTTGCTGTAACATAACTACGTTCAGCGTGACTTCCCACTGAGGGATACGTAGGCAACCCATATAGGGTTTGGTTTCTCTCCCTCTTTTCTATTGTAATAGAAAAACCAAATATCACTTTTGTATGTTGCTCAAGAACTACGCCGACTTGATTTCCTCGAAAGGGATTACGTAGGCAATCCTCATCGGATTCAGTCGTCTTTGTAATTGAAATATGTTCTGGCCTGGTTCCATTTGGATATGTAGGCAGTTTGAGCCAGACTCGACCAAATTACTGGAAGAAATACATGCAGGGACGTGCAGACCCCTTATGAATGGGTTCACACTAGCCAAGAAGATCTTGACAGCTGGATACTTTTGGATGACTATGGAAAGCGACAGTGTCCGTTACGTACAGAAGTGTCACCAGTGCCAGATTCATGGGGATTTCATCTGGTTTCCGCCGAATGAGTTAAACGTAATGGATTCGCCCTAGTGATTCAATGCTTGTGGCATGGATGTGATTGGACCTATAGAGCCTGCCGCATCAAATGGACATCATTTCATCTTGGTAGCTATCGATTATTTCACCAAATGGGTCGAGGTATCTACTTACAAGGCCGTCACAAAGAAGGTAGTGGCATATTTTGTCCGGAACAACATCGCCTACAGATTTGGAATACCGGAGTCCATCATCACTTATAATGCCGCTAACCTTAACAGCAACCTCATGAGAGAAATCTGCAAGAAGTTTAGAATCGTCCACCGCAATTCCACTGGCTATAAACCATAAATGAATTGGGTAGCCGACAAGAATATCAAGAGAATTTTACGAAAGATAGTAGATAACCACAGGCAATGGTACGAGAAACCTTCTTTTGCCCTATTGGGTTATCGGACCACCATGAGGACATCTACTAGGGAAATAACATACATGTTAGTATACGAAACTGAAGTTGCGATACCTGTAGAGGTCGAAATACCGTCTTTAAGGGTCATTCAAGAGGCAAATTTAGACGACACAGAATGGATACGAGTCAGAAAGGAGCAACTCGTGCTTATCGATGAGAAAAGAATGGACACAATATGCCACGGTCAGCTATACTAGAATAGAATGGCCAGTGCATTTAACAAGAACTTGATGGTTCGCCAGTTCGCACCAGGGCAGTTGGTCTTGAAGAAATCTTTCCCCACCAAGAGGAAGCAAAAGGAAAGTTTGCACCAAACTGGCAAGGTCCTTACGTGGTTCACTGAACACTATCGGGTGGAGCTCTAATCTTAGAAGAAACGGATGGATGAATCAACACGAAGCCCATCAACTCGGATGCAATCAAGAGATACTATGTTTGAAGAAAAAAATAGAGTTAGCTTTTGCTGTAACATAACTACGTTCAGCGTGACTTCCCACTGAGGGATACGTAGGCAACCCATATAGGGTTTGGTTTCTCTCCCTCTTTTTTCTTGTAATAGAAAAACCAAATATCAGTTTTGTATGTTGCTCAGGAACAATGCCAACTTGATTTCCTCGAAAGGGATTACGTAGGCAATCCTCATCGGATTCAGTCGTCTTTGTAATTGAAATACATTCTGGCCTGATTCCATTTGGATACGTAGGCAGTCTGAGCCAGACTCGAGCAGATTACTGGGAGAAATACATGTAGGGACGTGCAGACCCCTTATGAATGGGTTCACACTAGCCAAGAAGATCTTGACTGCTAGATACTTTTGGATGACTATGGATAGCGACAGTATCCGTTACGTACAGAAGTGTCACCAGTGCCAGATTCATGGGGATTTCATCTGGTTTCCGCCGAATGAGTTAAACGTAATGGATTCACCCTAGTGATTCGATGCTTGAGGCATGGACGTGATTGGACCTATAGAGCCTGCCGCATCAAATGGACATCATTTCATCTTGGTAGCTATCGATTATTTCACCAATTGGGTCGAGGTATCTACTTACAAGGCCGTCACAAAGAAGGTAGTGGCATATTTTGTACGGAAAAACATCGCCTACAGATTTGGAATACCGGAGTCCATCATCACTTACAATGCCGCTAACCTCAACAACGACCTCATGAGAGAAATCGGCGAGAAGTTTAGAATCGTCCACCGCAATTCTACAGGCTACAAACCACAAATGAATGGGGTAGCCAAGGTAGCCAACAAGAATATCAAGAGAATTCTACAAAAGATAGTAGACAACCACAGGCAATAGCACGAAAATCTATCTTTCGCCTTATTGGGTTATCGGACCACCATGAGGACATCTACTAGGGAAATAACATACATGTGAGTATACGAAACTGAAGTTGCGATACCTACAGAGGTCGAAATACTGTCTTTAAGGGTCATTTAAGAGGCAAATTTAGATGACACAGAATGGATACGAGTCAGACAGGAGCAACTCATGCTTATCGATGAGAAGAGAATGGACATAATATGCCACGGTCAGCTATACCAGAATAGAATGGCCAGTGCATTTAACAAGAACATGAAGGTTCGCCAGTTCGCACCAGGGCAGTTGGTCTTGAAGAAAACCTTTCCCCACCAAGAGGAAGCCAAAGGAAAGTTCGCACCAAACTGGTAAGGTCTTTACGTGGTTCACCGAACACTATCGGGTGGAGCTCCAATCTTAGAAGAAACAGATGGAAGAATCAACACGAAGCCCATCAACTCGGACGTAATCAAGAGATAATATGTTTGAAGAAAATAATAGAGTTAGCTTTTGCTGTAACATAACTATGTTCAGCCTGACGTCCCACGGAGGGATTCATAGGCTACCCACATAGGGTTTTGGTTTCTCTCCCTCTTTTCTCTTGTAATAGAAAAACCAAATATAACTTTTGTATGTTGCTCAGGAACTACGCCGACTTGATTTCCTCGAAAGGGAATACATAGGCAATCCTCATCGGATTCAGTCGTCTTTCTAATTGAAATACATTCTGGCCTGATTCCATTTGGATACATAGGCAGTCTGAGTCAGATTCGACCAGATTACTGGAAGAAATACATGCAGGGATGTGCAGACCCCTTATGAACGGGTTCACACTAGCCAAGAAGATCTTAACAGCTGGATACTTTTGGATGAATATGGAAAGCGACAATATCCGTTACGTACAGAAGTGTCACTAGTGCCAGATTCACGGGGATATCATCTGGTTTCCGCCGAATGAGTTAAACGTAATGGGTTCACCCTAGTGATTCGATGCTTGAGACATGGACATGATTGGACCTATAGAGCCTGCCGCATCAAATGGACATCATTGCATCTTGATAGCTATCGATTATTTCACCAAATGGGTCGAGGTATCTACTAATAATTCCGTCACAAAGAAGGTAGTGGCATATTTTGTCCGGAAAAACATCGCCTACAGATTTGGAATACCAGAATCCATCATCACGTACAATGCCGCTAACCTCAACAGCGACCTCATGAGAGAAATCTGCGAGAAGTTCATAATCGTCCACCGCAATTCCACAGGCTACAAACCACAAATGAATGGGGTAGCTAAGGTAGCCAACAAGAATATCAAGAGAAATATACGAAAGATAGTAGACAATGACAGGCAATGGCACGAGAAACTATCTTTCACCTTATTGGATAATAGGAGCACCATGAGGACATCCACTAGGTAAATGACATACATGTTAGTATACGAATACCTATAGAGGTTGAAATACCGTCTTTAAGGGTCATTCAAGAGGCAAATTTAGACGACACAGAATGGATACGAGTCAGAAAGGAGCAACTCATGCTTATCGATGAGAAAAGAATGGACACAATATGCAACGTTCAGCTATACTAGAATAGAATGGCCAGTGCATTTAACAAGAACTTGAAGGTTCGCCAGTTCGCACCAGGGCAGTTGGTCTTGAAGAAAACCTTTCCCCACCAAGAGGAAGCCAAAGGTAAGTTCGCACCAAACTGGCAAGGTCCTTTCGTGGTTCACCGAACACTATGAGTGGAACTCTAATCTTAGAAGAAATAGATGGGAGAATCAACACGAAGGCCATCAACTCGAACGCAATCAAGAGATACTATGTTTGAAGAAACAAATAGAGTTAGCTTTTGCTGTAACATAACTACGTTCAGCCTGACTTCCCACTGAGGGATACGTAGGCAACCCATATAGGGTTTTGTTTCTCTCCCTCTTTTCTCTTGTAATAGAAAAAACAAATATCAGTTTTTTATGTTGCTCAGGAACTACGCCGACTTGATTTCCTCGAAAGGGATTACGTAGGCAATCCTTATCGGATTCAGTCGTCTTTGTAATTGAAATACGTTCTAGCCTGATTCCATTTGGATACGTAGGCAGTCTAAGCCAGACTCGACCAGATTACTGGAAGAAATACATGCAGGGATGTGCAGACCCCTTATAAACGGAATCACACTAGCCAAGAAGATCTTGACAGCTGGATACTTTTGGATGACTATGACAAGCGACAGTATTTGTTACGTGCAGAAGTGTCACCAGTGCCAGATTCACGGGGATTTCATCTGGTTTCCGCCGAATGAGTTAAACGTAATGGGTTCACCCTAGTGATTCGATGCTTGAGGCATGGATGTGATTGGACCTATAGAGCCTGCCGCATCAAATGGACATCATTTCATCTTGGTAGCTATCGATTATTTCACCAAATGGGTTGAGGTATCTACTTACAAGGCCGTCACAAAGAAGGTAGTGGCATATTTTTTCCGGAACAACATCGCCTACAGATTTGGAATACCGGAGTCCATCATCACTTACAATGCCGCTAACCTCAACAGCAACCTCATGAGAGAAATCTGCGAGAAGTTTAGAATCGTCTACCGCAATTCCACTGGCTACAAACCATAAATGAATGGGGTAGCCAAGGTAGCCAACAAGAATATCAAGAGAATTCTACGAAAGATAGTAGACAACCACAGGCAATGGCATAAGAAACTATCTTTTGCCCTATTGGGTTATCGGACCACCATGAGGACATCTACTATGGAAATAACATACATGTTAGTATACGAAACTGAAGTTGCGATACCTGTAGAGGTAAAAATACCGTCTTTAAGGGTCATTCAAGAGGCAAATTTAGATGACACAGAATGTATACGAGTCAGAAAGGAGCAACTCATGATTATTGATGAGAAAAGAATGGACACAATATGCCACGGTCAGCTATACTAGAATAGAATGGCCAGTGCATTTAACAAGAACTTGAAGGTTCGCCAGTTCGCACCAGGGAAATTGGACTTGAAGAAAATCTTTCCCCACCAAGAGGAAGCCAAAGGAAAGTTTGCACCAAACTGGCAAGGTCCTTACGTGGTTCACTGGACACTATCGAGTGGAGCTCTAATCTTAGAAGAAACGGATGGAAGAATCAACACGAAGCCCATCAACTCGGATGCAATCAAGAGATACTATGTTTGAAGAATAAAATAGAGTTAGCTTTTGCTGTAACATAACTACGTTTAGCGTGACTTCCCACTGAGGGATACGTAGGCAACCCATATAGGGTTTGGTTTCTCTCCCTCTTTTCTCTTGTAATAGAAAAACCAAATATCAGTTTTGCATGTTGCTCAGGAACTACGCCCACTTGATTTCCTCGAAAGGGATTACGTAGGCAATCCTCATCGGATTCAATCGTCTTTGTAATTGAAATACATTCTAGCCTGATTCCATTTGGATACGTAGGCAGTCTGAGCAAGACTCGACCAGATTACTGGAAGAAATACAAGTAGGAACGTGCGGTCCCCTTATTGACGGGTTCACACTAGCCATAAAGATCTTGACAGCTGGATACTTTTGGATGACTATGGAAATTGACAGTATCCGTTACGTTCAGAAGTGTCACCAGTGCAAGATTCATGGGGATTTCATCTGGTTTCCGCCGAATAAGTTAAACGTAATGGATTCACCCTAGTGATTCAATGCTTGAGGCATGGACGTGATTGGACCTATAGAGCCTGCAGCATCAAATGGACATCATTTAATCTTAGTAGCTATCGATTATTTCACCAAATGGGTCGAGGTACCTACTTACAAGGCCGTCACAAAGAAGGTAGTGGCATATTTTGTCCGGAACAACATCGTCTACAAATTTGGAATACCGGAGTCCATCATCACTTACAAAGCCGCTAACCTCAACAGCGACCTCATGAGAGAAATCTGCGAGAAGTTTAGAATCGTCCACCGCAATTCCACAGGCTACAAACCACAAATGAATAAGGTAGCCAAGGTAGCCAACAAGAATGTCAAGAGAATTCTACGAAAGATAGTAGACAACCATAGGCAATGGCACGAAAAACTATCTTACGCCTTATTGGTTTATCGGACCACCATGAGGATATCTACTAGGGAAATGACGATGTTAGTATACGAAACTGAAGTTGTGATACCTGCAGAGGTGGAAATACCGTCTTTAAGGGTCATTCAAGAGGCAAATGTAGACGACACAGAATGGATACGAGTCAGACAGGAGCGACTCATGCTTATCGATAAGAAGAGAATGGACATAATATGCCACGGTCAGCTATACCAGAATAGAATGGCCAGTGCATTTAACAAGAACTTGAAGGTTCGCCAGTTCGCACCAGGGTAGTTGATCTTGAAGAAAACCTTTCCCCACCAAGAGGAAGCCAAAGGAAAGTTTGCACCAAACTGGCAAGGTCCTTACGTGGTTCACCGAACACTATCGGGTAGAGCTCTAAACTTAGAAGAACCGGATGGAAGAATCAACACGAAGCCCATCAACTTGGACGCAATCAAGAGATAGTATGTTTGAAGAAAAAAATAGAGTTAGCTTTTGCTGTAACATAACTACGTTCAGCCTGACTTCCCATTGAGGGATACGTAGGAAACCCATATAGGGTTTGGTTTCTCTCCCTCTTTTCTCCTGTAATTGAAAAACCAAATATCACTTTTGTATATTGCTCAGGAACTACGCCGACTTGATTTCCTCGAAAGGGATTACGTAGGCAATCCTCATCGGATTCAGTTGTCTTTGTAATTGAAATACGTTCTGGCCTGATTCTATTTGGATACGTAGGCAGTCTGAGCCAAACTCGACCAGATTACTGGAAGAAATACATGTCGGGACGTGCGGACCCCTTATGAATGGGTTCACAGTAGCCAAGAAGATCTTGACAGCTAGATACTTTTGGATGACTATGGAAAGCGACAGTATCCGTTACGTACAGAAGTGTCACCATTGCCATATTCATGGGGATTTCATCTGGTTTTCGCCGAATGAGTTAAACGTAATGGGTTCACCCTAGTGATTCGATGCTTGAGGCATGGACGTGATTGGACCTATAGAGCCTACCGCATCAAATGGACATCATTGCATCTTGCTAGCTATCGATTATTTCACCAAATGGGTCTAGGTATCTGCTTACCCGGCCGTCACAAAGAAGGTAGTGGCATATTTAGTCCGGAACAACATCGCCTACAAATTTGGAATATCGGAGTCTATCATCACTTACAATGCCGCTAACTTCAACAGCGGCCTCATGAGAGAAATCTGCGAGAAGTTCAGAATCATCCACCGTAATTCCACAAGCTACAAACCATAAATGAATGAGGTAGCCAAGGTAGCCAACAAGAATATCAAGAGAATTCTACGAAAGATAGTAGACAACCACAGGCAATGGCACGAGAAAATATCTTTCGCCTTATTAGGTTATCGGACCACCATGAGGACATCTACTAGGGAAATGACATACATGTTAGTATACGAAACTGAAGTTGTGATACCTGCAGAGTTCGAAATACCGTCTTTGAGGGTCATTCAAGAGGAAAATATAGACGACACAGAATGGATACGAGTCAGACAGGAGCAACTCATGCTTATCGATGAGAAAAGAATGGACACAATATGCCACGGTCAGCTATACCAGAATAGAATGGCAAGTGCATTTAACAAGAACTTGAAGGTTCGCTAGTTCACACCAGGGAAGTTGGTCTTGAAGAAAATATTTCCCCACAAAGAGGAAGCCAAAGGAAAGTTCGCACCAAACTGGCAAGGTCCTTACGTGGTTTAATGAACACTATCGGGTGGAGCTCTAATCTTAGAAGAAACGGATGGAAGAATCAACACGAAGCCCATCAACTCGGACGCAATCAAGAGATACTATGTTTGAAGAAAAAAATAGAGTTAGGTTTTGCTGTAATATAACTACGTTCAGCCTGACTTCCCACTGAGGGATACGTAGGCAACCCATATAGGGTTTGGTTTCTCTCCCTCTTTTCTCTTGTAATAGAAAAACCAAATATCAGTTTTGTATGTTGCTCAGGAACTACGCCGACTTGATTTCCTCGAAAGGGATTACGTAGGCAATCCTCATCGGATTTAATCGTCTTTGTAATTGAAATACGTTCTAGCCTGATTCCATTTGGATACATAGGCAGTCTGAGCCAGACTCGACCGGATTACAGGAAGAAATACATGTATGGACGTGTGGACCCCTTATGAACGGGTTCACACTAGCCAAGAAGATCTTGACAGCTGGATACTTTTGGATGACTATGGGAAGCTACAGTATCCGTTACGTACAGAAGTGTCATCAGTGCCAGATTCACGGGGATTTCATCTGGTTTCTGCCGAATGAGTTAAACGTAATGGTTTCACCCTAGTGATTCGATGCTTGAGGCATGGACGTGATTGGACCTATAGAGCCTGCCGCATCAAATGGACATCATTTTATCTTGGTAGCTATTGATTATTTCACCAAATGGGTCGGGGTATCTACTTACAACGCCGTCACAAAGAAGGTAGTGGCATATTTTGTCCGCAACAACATCGCCTACAGATTTGGAATATCGGAGTCCATCACCACTTACAATGCCGCTAACCTCAACAGCGACCTCATGAGAGAAATCTGCGAGAAGTTTAGAATCGTCCACCGCAATTCCACAGGCTACAAACCACAAATGAATGGGATAGCTAAGGTAGCCAACAAGAATATCAAGAGAATTCTACGAAAGATAGTAGACAACCACATGCAATGGCACGAAAAACTATCTTTTGCCTTATTGGGTTATCGGACCACCATGAGGACATCTACTAGGGAAATAACATACATGTTAGTATACGAAACTGAAGTTGTGATACCTGCAGAGGTCGAAATACCGTCTTTAAGGGTCATTCAAGAGGCAAATTTAGACGACACAGAATGGATACGAGTCAGACAGGAGCAACTCATGCTTATCGATGAGAAGAGAATGGACATAATATGCCACGGTCAGCTATACCACAATGGAATGGCCAGTGCATTTAACAAGAACTTGAAGGTTCGCCAGTTCGCACCAGGGCAGTTGGTCTTGAAGAAAACCTTTCCCCACCAAGAGGAAGCCAAAGGAAAGTTCGCACTAAACTGGTAAGGTCTTTACGTGGTTCACCGAACACTAATGGGTGGAGCTCTAATCTTAGAAGAAACGGATGGAAGAATCAACACGAAGCCCATCAACTCGAACGTAATCAAGAGATAATATGTTTGAAGAAAATAATAGAGTTAGCTTTTGCTGTAACATAACTATGTTC